GTTATTAAGCTGCTGAAATTGTGATCTGTTCAACAGCAATTAAAACTCTAGACGTATATATCTGAGCATCACGAGACGACACAATGTAAAAGTTAACGGACGACGACGGACAACGACGGACGCCAAGTGATGAGAAAAGTTCACTTGACCCTTTAGGGCCAGGTGAGCTAAAAAGGGGTGATTTTACAGTTTTCGGACAATATTTTTAAAGTGCTTTGAGGAGTTTTCATGAAACTTTGGTGAATGCTTTATATAGATTAAGGTTACCTCCCTTTTAGTTTTTTTTATAAATTTTTGATATGACATTGAGAAATTATTTATAGGTTTCATAACGAGTGATAATGGATTTCGCTTGATATCAACTCGAGTTATTTAATTTCAATATAATATTAAACGATGCTCCGGCGAGTTTGATATCAAGCGTATCATGCGCCCATGGCGCAGCTGTTTATTAAAAAAAACGATGTAAGAAACCTACTGGAGAGCAGAGAAGAATCAGAAAAATGCATTTGTTTTTGTTAGATGTATTTCTATTTGTATCAATCTGATGAGTTAAGCCTTTTTCGACTGATTTTTATAGTTCGTTCTAATGTTGTACTGTTACACCACTGTCCCAGGTTAGGGGGAGGGTTGGGATCCCGCTAACATGTTTAACCCCGCCACATTCTGTATGTATGTGCCTGGTGGTTGTCGTTTGTTGATGTGTACATATTTGTTTTTAGTTTATTTTTTTTACATAAATTAGGCCGTTAGCTTTCTCGTTTGAATTGTTTTACATTTGTCATTTCGAGGCCTTTTAAAGCTGACTATGCGGTATGGGCTTTGTTCATTGTTGAAGGCCGTACGGTGAGCTATAGTTGTTATTTTTTTGTGTTATTTGGTCTCTTGTGGAGAGTTATCTCATTATCTTCTTTTTTTATATGTAATAAAAAAATATTCTACTAAAAGACACTTTATCCGACCAGTTTCTATTCCCATTGACAATAACATCTGAATTAAATTTCATATATAGTTAACAATGAAATGAATAATTCATCAGCTTAATTCACTCTTTGTACGTACGTCTCAATCCAAATTGTCTATGCTTACATTAGATTGTTGACATCATGAATATATACTGTACATGTAATTTATTAGATGTGACAAACAACAATATATACAGATGGCTGATACTTGTTTATAAAGTCTAAGTGTTAGTACACCTTTATTAAACTGATGAATGCAATGGTTTCGTGCCTTAAAAAGTACATAATTTGAACCCTTTTTTTATTGTTTTTAAACGTAAATACACTGACACACAACATTCTAAGCTATAGGAAATTTGTATAATCACTCGAAAATACAGACGCACTCGAAAAAGCCCGGACTGCTCTCGAAAAAACCCGAACACATAGAAATGAATTTAGTCTCAATTTTCTATGCAACAACAAGAATTTTTGTAAAGTGTCTGTATATCTAAGGATATATGGATTCCATGTATGCATTTCCATCGACGATTGCATTGGTATGTGTATAAAAATGGCTTTATTCTGTTTTTTTGGAATAAAAGCATTGTAAGGCTATAAATTCAACTTTTTGTACGAAAAATAATGTCGGATTGATAATACCTTTTTATCTCAAATACTAACACACCTTGTATATCCTTGTATATTAAACTCAAGCTTCTATATCACGTCTTTTCAGAAAGTAAGTCTGTTTGTTAATATTTTTGATCGTATTCACTCGAAAAAAAGTGGTCACACTCGAAAAACCCCGATCAAATCACTCGAAAAACCACGATCCTAGCCGGACACTATACCTACCGTGATGATAGTCACACTTAATCATTAGATTTTTGTTTTTATTCAGTAGTTATACTTTAAGTGAGTTTTAGCTTGTGGTTACTTAATGAAACGTACACGAGTGGTGTTTTTTTTTTTATCTAATTACTTATCATACATTTTTCTACATTTTTTATCAATGGTTATCACAATGTCTTTAAACAAACAATATCTATATACCTGGAATGTGTTTACATTTGTTATTCTATGATTGTTTAGGTTATTTAACTTCCGTGGTATTAAGTATTTATACTGGTTCCCACTGAAGAGACAACGAAAAAATGATAGAATAGTCACCAGTGGCTAACATGGCCGAAAAATAAGTGTCCTTTTAATTCATGCCGTATACATTGATGTAAGGTGACGGGGTGTGGGTTTTTTCTCTAGAAATGTATTTCTGGTTTACGCAACTGCGTTTGACGTAATGGCTGTTATGTCTCTTGTCACAGAGAGCATTCTACTTACGTAAAATAACATATGTCCATTAACAATCTCAGTGGCAGTAGTGTGCTGATCGTATGTTCAATACCCTGCTTGTGGTCACATCAAGCATTAAAAAAAACTCTTTTACACTAAGTAAAACCCCTTTCTTGTTTTGAGTCAGAATAATGCGTTCGGGTAGAGTGATATATTCTCTTGCGAATTGTTAATACTTATTGATTTCGCACGTTACATATCTGGCGTGTCTGTCTAGTACATTTTCTGAATGACTCCATCAAACGTACGTGACATATCTTGCGTTTCTGTTTAGTACAATTCATGGATGACTCCATCAAATATTATCGTTTAATATTTCCACTGTCGCTTTATAGCCATTGCATGGCAAAAAGATGTTTAAGCACAACAAACAAGGCGCATGAAGTGAATGTCTAACCGTTTGTGTCCAATTATATTTCTTTAATGTTCGGATTATTTGTTAAAAGGTAAAGAGTAAATGAAGAATAGCAATACCATAATCGTTTCTGAATGTAGAGTTCAGTTCTTTTATATACAATTTTGTTTCATGTTCACTTTTCTCACGTGTAACATTATATCAAATTTATGCAAATGTGACCATCTTAAAGAAACATATACTTTTTTTTGCATTTTTTAATGGTGTATTTTTGTCTTCTATCGGTATTTTAATGGACAGTTATATCATATTGCACACTTAATAAGAGTACAACAATGTCGATTCGATCAAAATATTTTCCATAAGGTAACTCTAAATTTCTCTTCTAACGATACAGTTTTACCATCCTTTACTGGTATTGCTTATCATTTCACATTTTGTTTAAATCCTAAACAATGTTCCAAAGGAAATTTATAGTAAAATATCTTAGATGAAGTTGTTTGAAGGCTCTTATTTGAAATCTGTAGCAGGATCCTTTTATTAAAGTTCGATTCCCTCCTTGTTGGAAATTTGGAAATTTGTTAAGTTAAAAATCCGAATGTTAAGATATTTAAAAGGTAAATCCAGAAAAACGATTTAGACGCACAATTTCTAAAGTTTTCATTACATTTACTAACTTTGAGCCGCTGCGGGAGGACTGATAGTGCCCGAGGGTATTATCAGTTACTAGTATCAGTGCTTCGGTACTGCCATGATTTATAAAATATACTTATATACTTATATATATAATCTACATTCATACATTAAGAAATTGTTACAAAACTAAGGTTTCTACTCCCTCAGGCAAAGTTGATATTTGAGGAGTTTGGCATCATATCAATATCAATTTTTAAAATCAAAACAAAAGATGAAACCCAAAACGAGGTAATATATTATCTTAATATTGTTTTATACATAAAGCAGTGGACTCAAAACACCCTCGAGTATAAAAGGTGTTCCCGGCTTTCTCTTACGAAATGTTTGTCATCCAATTTTAGATTTTTCTATCCAAAATACTGCTGCAGGAAGCAGAGATACAAATAATTTTCTCAATGGTATTTATTTATATGCACCTTCAAGATCCAAAAGAATTTGCACATACCAAAAATCAGTTGTTTTTTGTGACTATTTGTCTATACTAAAAAGATGCACTATATCTTTTACTTTTACTATCTATGTATAAATAAGTATATAACACACAACAAATATTTTATTGTGCAACTGCTTTAAAATTTGAATGACCATATACTCAGAACTGTTAGTGTTTTACCTCCTATAATAAAGAGTTACTCATGTTTATTCTAAACTGAATATCCGTCTGTAGCACATATTATAATGTTTATATTATATTAAGTTTAACGGGTAGGTGGAGATGCCACACAAAATATCGGGTAGGAGAAGATGCCACACAAAATATCGGGTAGGAGGAGATGCCACACAAAATAACGGGTAGGAGGAGATGCCACACAAAATATCGGGTAGGAGGAGATGCCACACAAAATAACGGGTAGGAGGAGATGCCACACAAAATATGTTATGTGCGTTCAAACATTCATCAAATCTTAAATCGTCTTTATGTTTGGCCATGGTACTGTCTATTTTTTAAACTTATGATTTTCGAAAGCCCCTTGGCGTGTTCTGATCTTTTTTTAAAGTAGAAATGTCACGAAAAAGAATAAGATCAATCAGTGCATTACAGATCAGATCAAACGGCAATTCTTGTTTAAAAAAATCTAAACCCGCTAATCCATTGCTTTGTAAATTTGGATATTATGTTCATTAGCAAAATAATTGCAATTCCTAGTATAGATTTATTCAGGAAAATGGCTGTTCACTAATTTGCTTAAGAGACATTTATCGCTGAAAAGCGCATCTGGTGCAGAAAAATTGGTTCCTTTAACGTTATTGGTTATAAGGTAAATTCGAAAAAGGATCGATTATTAAACTAGGATTAAATTATAGGCTATTAAACCTCATTTTCCAATTTTAATATCACTTTACCAAATGGAAATGTGTTGTCCGATAATTTAACCCTAAATTTCTGCATTTAATATGCTTCTACACCAGGAATAGATTACCTTAGCTGTATTTGGCAAAACCTTTCGGAATTTTGGATCCTGGATGCTCTTCAACTTCGTTGTTTATTTTGCCTATTTAACTTCTTTGATAAGAGCGTCACTGATGAGTCTTTTGTAGACGAAACGCGCGTCTGTCGTACACAATTTTAATCCTGGTTTCTACGTTGAGTTTATATAGTTACTATGTCAACATCCTGTCACAAGTATTGAAAATGAAACTGATTATTTTAGGTAATCGTAAAAGGGCGAAGAAATATAGAAGAAAATATCAGAGACGAATTCAGAGACAGAAAAACAGAAAACAAAGAAGACGAAAAGGAAGTTTAGAAATCCTCGGAATAAGAACAAGAATCTGTCAGAAATACAAAAGAACTAGAAAAAGTTGGATTTGTTCAAAATATTCTTTTGAAAGAAAACGCCGAGGTAAAATTAATTCGAGTTAAATAATGTACAAAGATAAATATTTTGACAATTTACTGTTTTTATCCTTTCACATCGTTTTTTCCAAAATCATTTTGTAAAAGAAATTAGTTTTGCTGTCATCGTGTTTTATGTATAATTTGAAATATCAGATTTAGAATAAATTTTCGAAGTCATCTTACGAATAAGAAATTATATAATAAAGTGTTTTTGTTTATTAAAAAGGAGATGTTGGTATACGTCAATGAGACAGCAACATAAAGATATAAAGAGAGCAAAACATCGTCTTAAAAAGGACATGTTTCTATGCAATATATCATGAGTCTAAAAAATGTGAGCATAAACTATGTGAAATTTTCCAGCAACAGCAAATTTACCAAATAATAATTAGAATATGCCTCAATGCAACCGCTGACACGGTTCCTGACTTGAGACAGCCACTATATAAATAACACATAGCTGAGAGGGTGATAGTATATAAATAACACATAGCTGAGAGGGTGATAGATTCATTTATTATACTTCACGTAAAAATGCAATATTTTGATTGGCTTATACGAGGGTGTTAATTTACTCTATTCTATGGTAAATACTCATTTACCCTTCACGGAGACGCTTGATCAAGTGTGCGCTTTATTAAATACGACTCTATCCTATGGCAAAAGACATTGTCAACCTTGGCTTCGCCTCAGTTGACAATGTTTTCTCGGGGTAACAATCTGCTCTATCACCCTCTCAGATATTTAATTTATTATACTGAATGTTCTGTTATTACTGTCCATTAAATTTCAAATTCAAAAAAAATAAACTATGACGTCTTGTACATAACAACCATCCGTATTTAATAAAGAGCACACTTGATCAAGCGTCTCCGTGAAGGGTAATAGAGTATTTGCCATAGGATAGAGTCGTATTTAATAAAGCGCACACTTGATCAAGCGTCTCCGTGAAGGGTAAATGAGTATTTACCATAGAATAGAGTAAATTAACACCCTCGTATAAGCCAATCAAAATATTGCATTTTTACGTGAAGTATAATAAATGAATCTATCACCCTCTCAGCTATGTGTTATTTATATACTATCACCCTCTCAGCTATGTGTTATTTATATAATGTTGCATGATAGATAGTGTTTATATTATTTTAGGTTAAATAACATACTACATAAAAGTCATTTCAGGAGGTGCACTCTAAAATAACTCATTCATAGGTAACAGAAGCACAAGTACAGCAACATATAATCAAGCAGACTAAACCGTTTCAATAGTAACTGAAAGTCGGATCAAAATGCTTTACCTATATTGATATGAAATCAAGTCGTACTACACTCTATTATCAGTTGCAGTACTTCATATAGGATTACACAGGGCCATGTCATAACCAGTACAGGAAAACACGACCTAGTAAAATGCTCAGAACAAACTACAAAATGAAAATGTAGAAAAAAAACACATAAAAACATTTTATAAAGTAAGGAAACCGAAGTTTACCGATGTTCAAATATCATAAATCGAAAAAAATGATTAAAAAACTAATTGAAGATAACTAGACTTATAATTTAGAAAGACAGCTGCGCGTTTCATCCTCATCAGATTTATTAGGAACGTTCGAACCCAAATAGTTGGAAAACCAAATCAATTTGAACAGCATTGAAAACACTATTTCATAATTTTTTTTACCAAATGCGGCTTCTGTCACACGATGCCGAAAAAAAATATCAGTGAATGATTTAAACATTGTATAACCAGTCAACTACTTATAGAAAGTGGTCTTATCACAACGATACGCCATGTCAGCCAAACATCAATTCAATAATTGAATTATCGAATTTATGTTTATAAAAAGAACAACAAAAAAACCAAACAAGACAAGGTGCTAATTATTCTTATATCTTAATTGAAGGTTACATTTTGTTGCATCTCATTTGAATAGATATATCAAAGAAAATCATTCAGATGTGTTCCTTTAACTTCACGTTTCGCTGTATAGATGATGGCCTCTCACTAAATAATTCAAAGTTTGGTGACTATGTTGAACGCATCAATCTCATCGAACCTGAAATTAAGGATACAACAGAAACAGTGAGGTCTGCCTCATATCTTGGACTTACATACAGAAATTGAAAATGAAGGTCGGTTGAGAACAAAACTTTACGAAAAAAGCCAGCACGGGTTTGGTTGACAGTTATGGAATATCTGTTTCACAGGTGATGACGGATTTGTTCCGATTGTCGTAACCACACTTCGTCCTTTTTCTTCGAATGTGACAAACCGAATTAGACTTATCACCGGGTTTGTACTTACGTGAGCAACACGACGGGTGCAACATATGGAGCAGGATCTGCTAACCTTTCAGAAGCACCTGAGATCACTCCCGGTTTTAGGTGGGGTTCGTGTTGTTGTTGTGTTTTGTGTACTGCTGTTTGTCTATTCGTCGTTTTTCGTTTTTTTGCCATGGAATTGTCAGTTTTCTTTCGACTTATGAATTTGAATATCCCTTTGGTATCCTCAGTCTCTCTTGCCAAACATTTTTTTCTCAAATAAAAGTCGTAAATAATTATTGTTTACATCAGAAGAAAAAAAAAACATTTGAAGGCAAAATTATCACCAAATAAACAAATAAGATTTAGACAATTCTATATCTTTCAACACCTGGTTTGTGTAACTCCGAACACAAAAGCCTTCAAAATGTTATGAACAAATGTGTTTTATATGAAACTTCGATAATAATTAGTCGTCTTGAACATTCAGTCCGGTTTTTGTTGGTGTTCGTGTTTCTGTCACTGTTTTATACTGTGTTTTGTATACTGTTGTTTGTCTTTTGGTCGTTTTTATTTTTTCGAAACAAAAATGAAAATAAAACTTTATAAATTTTGTGCGTCTAGAGCACTTTTCTGGATTTGCTTAATTCAGCAGGAATTAGTATTTTTGTCTTTGAACTTTGTCTGACATATTTGATTAAGGGTTTCACTGAAACTTCAAAACTGCAAAAACTGTTAATTATTTTATTTTCGGAGAGTGTCTTTAATATTTGAATATCATTCACAACCTCGGTCAAAACGCAAGAAATCTTATATAAATATTCTGACTTGAGTAAAATATCTTTTTCGAAAAAACTGTATGTAAAACAGGCAATTTAGTTAAAGTTTAAACATTTTTATGACGTCACTGACAATCCAACTGAACTTCTTATCAATAAAATAGCAGTATATTTACAAAATTTTTACTACTTTTGCAAATCGAAGACTCGTTAGGAGCCTTTTTTTCTTGAAAAGAACCGAGACACTACGGTTATGATGTAATATCAAAAACAACATGAACAACCGGAATAATATAAGGGGGCCTTAATGAAGGTATCTTCATGACGAATAACGGTAAAAAGTCTTACCAAATGACGTTAACGGTAATTTTTAGCGCATGACGATAAAATGTACATTTTTCTTTATGACGATAAAAGAATCGACTGATTTTGACGAATCACATTAAATTCTTTCCAAAAATAACGGTAACGGAAAATTGTTTGAGAACTCTGATGAATCACGATAAAATCTTAAATAATTTGATGCTAACAGTAGCCGAAAATGACCGTTTGACGCCTGATGGTAAAGGGCATTCCCACCCTTCATATAAACATTATGACACTATCAGCGAGCAATTGAATGCCAATTTAAAAAAAGCAGAAGAAATAAAAAAAAAAAAAAAAAGAAATCCTCGAATACACGAAATCACAAATTGGACAGGAATTCGAGGATCCTGGCAGATTTTTATCTTTAGAAATGAATATAATAAGGGGTTCTTTCCATTAACAATCCAAACTTTTCTGATTGATTCCTCTGCCTCATTTCTCGACACATATCTCGAATTTGACTACAGCGGTCATCTCAGTACCAGAACCTATGACAAACGAGACGATTCCAATTTTGAAATTATGAATTTTCCTCACCTTAGCAGCAATATACCAACTTCATTTCTCGATTCAGCAACTGCAAATCAGACTGGTGAAACGTCATCGGTGTCTGAGCACAAAATTAATGAGCCAGGGTTTTTGTCAAAAATCGTCTCTTCATATTTCTCAAAAAAACAAAATTCATCGGAATGTACCAAGTTCTACTACCAATACGTAGCCCGGTATTTGTACATTCAGCTTTCGGGTTTTTTGGCTTTGAGCGTTCCTGGTGAAGGTGGGTCCAGGGGTGCGATTCGGACGCAAGAGAAAATTATATTGTTGTTTTCATTTTGTTAACCCTTGTATATATATTTTATATAACTTGGTATTTTATCGGGAAAGTGTAAACTAGCATGGCATTATGTTTTAAAATACTGTATGTACTTTCAACTACATTTTTTTTGTGACGTCTTTGTCAGTTTATTTGTTATACTGTATGCACTACCAACATCAATAACTTTTTTGTTGGCGTCTTTTACAGATTTATTTGTTTCTTAAGTTAGTTGTGTTGTATGTCTGCGGTGTATTTTGGCTGCTGGATCCCAATTATTGTCAAGTTAACCAATTTTGTCTGTTTGGGTTGCTCATCTAATTTTCAATATAACGGAATTATAAACAACTGTCATACACATGGGAGGTTTACCTGTTTCCGTCGTCGTCAGTTAGAGTTTGTGACAAGGTTAGTTTAAGAACAACCACTAATGACAAGTCAATCATATATGGTATGCAGTTTTATTAGCATTAACATTTCTCATTTCCATAGAGGTAATTGGCCCTAAACCTTCAATCATGGCTTATTGACCTTGATGTGCTGCATTGTTTACACGTTAAAGTATTGCCATTTCAATATCAATATTTGCATTTACTATCAAAACTAGATACAGGCGAGACAGTTGAGCAAATGTATATTGGCTTTTTTTGTTTGATATGCATTTTCAGTGTTCTGCCAAAACATACATTTGAAGAGCAAATAAAACAATCAGGAGTTCATTTCGTAAAGTAACGAAATGTATGTAGCTAAGATACGATATCCTCTGAGTTAATCTCAGGCTTTTGTCATATTTTGCTAGCAAGTTAAATTTTTGAAGTCTATACAAAATATGTCGGTGTTCTTTTTGATAATCACAACAAGATTGTAAAATTGAGATGACAATGGTTCAATGACATCAGCCTCTAACTTTCTTTGAAAGATTTGACGTACTGTGGAAGGTATGTTTATATCCTTGCTAAG